CAAATTTTGGTGCTTTAGTTTTAGGAGTTTGGGTCTAGTTGGTGTGAGTTGTACATAAATTTATATAGTGCAAACATTGATTTACATTTCCTTTTATTATTTTGAATTAATTACACTAATTAGTTAATTAATTAAGTTTTAATTTAATTAATTAGTTAGTTAATTGATTAAAGTTAAAATTTTATTTTTAAATTAAACGCAATGCTCATTAATAAAATTTTAAATTAATTAATCAATTAGTTAATTAATCGAAGTTTTAATTTTATTTCTAATTAAATTAATTAAGTTTTAAATTACATTTTTAATTAATCAATTGTTTTAATTATTAAATTTTACTTTTATTTTTAAATTAGTTATTTAATTAAGTTTATTTTAAGTTTATTAATCAATTATTAAATTAATTAGAAGATTTAATTTAAAATTAATTAATTCATTAGTTAAATTAATTAAATCGATCAATTAATTAATTAGATAATGTTTTAATTTAGTCAAAACTCCTCGACTCTCCAAATAAACAGCCGCCCGACGTCCCCTCCCTATGAGGGGAGGTCGGGAGGGCACTCGCCTTTCAAACTCGCCCAATCTGATAGAATTCGACGGCCGAAGGCTTCGGGACAATGACTATAATATACAATTTTTCAACAAATTATATTGTTATATTTAATGCTTAAGTTATAATTAAAATTACTATTAAAAGCAAAGAATTTTAATAGTAATGAACTTACATTATAATTATTGTTTAAGTTATATTCCTATGGTATTAATAATAACTACTATTTTAAATTAAATTCCCTATTTCTTGAAGAGTTGCATTTCCTGAAGAGTTGCATGTGAGGACTAAATAGATCCTCCGTTGATTTTTTTCCCATCTAAAGGCTGTGAAGTTTTCTGAATTCAGTTACATGTGGGCCTCCCTTTTCCTCACTAATTTAATGTACACGGAATAGAGTGAGGAGCAGGAAAGAGTGGTGAAAAGAAAGCAGTTTTGGAGTGGGGCCACTCTGTTAGTGTTGTTCACGTGAAGTTGTGAAACCGGAAATGCTAAGAATGGAGTTCTGTATGCAAAGCAAAGAAGGAATGCAAAAAATTCCTGTAGTTGGAATCGGCAATGCACAGGCAAAGTTTCGCAATAGTGTTGTACGTGTAGTAGGCGACACAATGGAATTTTCTGAAGGATCTGTAAGCATTGTTCAACACAGTGTTTTCATTCACTATAGGAGCGACAGTTCCTAGTGAAGAAGATTTCAACTGAAAAGATTTTTGGCAGTGAAGGAAATAAGAAGTGCAGGTATTAACAGTATTGTTGAATAGAAGTTATTTGAAAACTATCATCAAGATTTGGAAGTAATTAATTTAGAACTATGTGATGAATTATAGTTTGGTGTAAGTGTGCAAACTAATTGAGGAAACAATGAAGGAAGATTAAGAGAGAAAGTTTAAAGGAGGTAAGAATTCTAATATTTGTTATTACCTTTTATATTACCAAAAATTCAGTAGAGTTTCTAAAGATGATAATCCAATCGTATTGGAGGATTTATCAGATATATGTACAAAGAAGATTTTGAGATAGTTTATCAAAGGAAAAAGGTTACGTGGTGTAAAAGTGGAAGAGGCGGTTCGTCAAAGAGGTAAAGTTTTGCAATTATAAATTACAAAAGTAAATGTTAGAAACTCTTGATGTATACAATATCAATTGATTCATTTATAATGTTAATTGTGTTAAGATAATTCCAATTATGGAATATGAAATGCATCTCTTATGCATTGCATGAATAAATAAATTCATATCCATATGAAAACTTGCAAATGAAAATCAGATAAAGCATTTTTGTTAATGTAATGTAATTGAGTATACTTCCAAGTTATCATATATGATCAACCTCTTGCAGATATATATCATTAAAATTTAACCTGAGATTCATGATGATTGTTGTAATACTTTTCTAGTTGATTATAAATTGAAAAGAGCTCATTTATTTCATATTGTCAATACATTCTGACATGTAAATGTTAAGAGACGAATTCTTATATAATTTTGTACATGACAAGCCAAGTATGAATAATGAATATGAAATATGTACTAAATATTAATTTAAAATAAAGTTTGGCTATAAAATGATATATAACTTACAATTGTATGTGAGACAAAAGGGTTCTCATGTACACTGCATTGTAAATAGAGCAAAAGGGACCCCATAGAATTATGATGCATGTATTACAAGTGGGGCAAAAGGGAACCCTAAAGAAGCAAAAGGAACATTTATGTAATTCAATGGCGATAATGCCAGGTTTACTTATTGAGCCTCATAACTCACCAGTATATTTCTTACTGGATGTTATTACAAGAAAAAAAAAAAAAGAAAAGATCGATGCTGACTAGGTTGTAAGTATTTAAATTTTATATGCAAGTTTATAAATCTGTGTAAGACTAAACTTAAGGTATGAAAACATTCCAATGAATTATTACTTTGAATTTCTGTAGTGGCGCTATAAGTGTTTCTTTGTTAAAACTTTAAATTATTAAATGCTTCTGTTGAGGTAATTGAAATATTAATGAATACTATTATGTCACTTTCCAAGAAAAAAAAAGAGTATCAGATGTTTAATGATGAAAAATGTTAGATTTATGCATGTTACACTCTTCAGTACTGTTAAGGGGTACTGTAGGGTGTTACAATGACGGGTCCCAAAATTAGTCTTCAAGGCTTCCAAGTAACCGCTGTTTATTTTTTTGGAAATTTTGACAACCTCCCAACGTCCCCTCTCCCCGCTAGGAGAGGTCAGGAGGGCACTCGCCCTTTCAAACCCGCCTAACTGGATAGGATTCAAAGGTAGAGGGCTTCGGGATCCTGGTATAGGTCTTTTGGTCCTCAAACGAAATGTTTCTTAAGAGAGCTTTGCAATTTGGTGTTTTCCCGGAATTTTAGCAGCTTTTCAACACCCCCTCCCCATGAGTAGAGCTTGGGGAGGGTACTTTCCCTTTCAAGTTCACTCGATCGGATTAAAATTAATGATCAAGGGCTTCAGGGGAAGAATCAACCTCAGAATCAGTCTTCGACTCCTCCAATTGAGTGATTGCGGCGCTTCTTCTCTTCATTTTCTCCTTTCCCCTGTTTCGAACAAAAGAAGGTGCTCGGGCTCGAGAACAGGGATCGGTCCCTATTTGTGTGGGCAATGCCGGATGGGAAGGAGAAGGGCACGGGAGAGTGCGGGATTTGGGTCGGTAGATCAAATGAATGTCGCAATTTGGTCGCAAGCAAGGTGGAGGAAAGCATTCGGGTTGGTGTATCGGATGGGTGTCGCGATTCAATGGCTGGTGGGGCGATGCTGCTCAGACTTCAGACGGATGGATGGACGGGTGGCAGGGGGTCGAGACCGGGTCAGGATAGGGTAAGCCACTCGTGGCTGGTGTCGCGCAAGGAAGAGGGAGGCCGGTAGGTTGGGGCTATCGCACGTGCGGTGTGGAGCGACCTGATCGAAAGTGCGAGCTGTCTGCATGGGGAGGGAAGTGGGGGCGGGAGATCGGTCTTCTGTTCCTGCCTGATAGTCGAATGAGCGAGTGGGAGATATTTCTGCTGTGTGAGGGAGTTTGTGTTGTGATTGTGGCAGTTGTGAGATCGTGAGTGAGTAGGGGTAGTGGGAGCTGCCTGGTGGTTAGAGGTCAACAAAAGCATATAAAACCCCTTATTTCTACTTCAAATGTTCCTTAGCATATCCTCTTCTTCCAGTTTGGTCCTGGTTTAACCAAGCCAGCATATATGCATAAATCCTTCACTGCTTTTGTTGTATTTTTTGCTAGCATTTCCGTGATTTCTACGCTGATATTTAAAAAAATTGCTATAATTGGTGAGACTACAAAGCTATAGAGAATGCTCGGCGTTCAGAAAAGCAATAACGGATGATGTGTTCTTTTCTGTATTCTTTCTGCGCATGACAAACCATGCTATAACTTTGATACCTTACCACATTATCAGAAAGCTAGGATATAAAGCATGTGTCCATGATTTACCTATTGACATCCAAGTTAGTCCTTATTTAAAGCTGAATATTTATGATCATATCAACCACTTTTGAGTTCTATTTCTTTTTACTATGATTTCCAGGAGTAGGTAGTCTACAATTCCTACAGCAGTTTCCATGTCAGTTTCGGTTATGGAATGAAAAGGGGACATAAACATACAGATGGGAAATTGATCTTCCTTGGGTATTGGCTGCAACTTTGAGGCATAAGCAAGATGTAAATTGATTCCATCTGCTTGGGTTTTTTGGGCAGTGACTGCCTTGGCATGAAAATTTCAATTGGAAGGTAATGAAGAAAAACAAAGAAGCCAATAGAAAGAGAGAGAAGTGAGAGAAAAAGAAGGAAATCATAAAACGTTTTTGTGAGCTTGGAGTGTCTTCTTGAAGAAACAAAAATATCGTTGCATCATAATTTTTTTTTAGTTTAATGCATGGAGGAACTTTTAATGTTCTTTTTAGGATATTTTGAAGATAATTAACTTGTTTTATGGCATTTTATGTGGATAATATAATGTTAATATTGAACTAGTCATGCATAATCATAAATGATTATGTTAGCATATTGTTGACAATTAAATACACTCAATAAAATATTCAAATATGATTATTATTAAACAAATATTTTTTGTTCCTAAAGCATTTGATATCATACATATGATATTTATAATAATTTTTTAAAGAAAATATACAGATTAAGTGTTTTTATTATACATTTTATAGTAAATTTTTTATAGTCGTATTGTGTCTGTTTTCGTGCTTCACTGTATGCACTCCACTTGCACCAATTTTGAAATAATTAACTTTTAGATTTCAAGAACTCATAGCAGTGATTAATCATTACTACCTTCAGTAACGAGTGGTGCTAACAAATAGGTCAAGCTAAACAAAATAGTTTACGGAATCAAAAAAAAAAAAAACTAAAAAAATAATAATAATAATAATAATAATAATAATAAATAGTTTACGGAATCAATACTTACACAAGTTGCAAATTTGATGATCCTAAGCTTTCCGGAATACTCCCAGTAAACTGATTTCCAGACAAATCCCTGCATTCAAGTAAAATGAATTACACCGATTTTGAATAGAAAAAGAACCATACAAAAACTTTAGGGAATTCTTTGTCATAATGGTAATCCTTGGCAGATAATATCCAGCCTCATGTCACATAGGTATAATCATTTATTAACAAAGATAATGACATACTCTAGTGAACCTGCATGTATACTCTTCTTTAAACATATGAATTTTGTAACGTTATCAAATATTTACATTTTATAAATTTTATATATCCTAGAGATCCATGGTTATGTATATCAAACTCTCACTATATTCAACAACAGTAAGAACCCTTGTATTGGATGCCCTTTTATACATTTAATTCCAAGGATCAACACAATGCCCTTCAGTCAACTATAGGTTAAGTTTCTTGCTGTAATATTCAGGAGAGAGAGTATTAGTTTACATTAAATTACATATCAAGTACAAAGTGAAACATAAGATAGTTTCTGTTAAAACGGAGAATTTGAGAGGGAAAAGCTTGAAATTATTCATTACAATCTTCCCTATTTATAGATCTATACAAGACATCCTAATGAGGAAATAATAAATTGCATAATTAATACATAAATAATACATAAAAATCTTTCCTAAATTCGCTCCCTCATTATGGCGTGATCCATGAGAGTATCCACGGATTGGCGTGATCCATGAGAGTATCCCACGGATTGATCTTTGTGTCCGTCGGATCCTTTGCACTAGGAACGGCTGGATTTCGATAGCTGGATTTCAACACTCCCCCTCAAGCTGGGAAATATGGATCCGTCATTCCCAGCTTGTCAATCATACGGAGAAATACAGAACTGTCCAATCCTTTAGTAAGGAAATCTGCAAGTTGATCCTTTGATGATACATAGTCAACACTTACTAGACCACTGTCTAGTTTTTCTTTAATAAAATGTCTGTCCACTTCTATGTGCTTTGTCCTGTCATGCTGGACTGGATTGTGGGCTATGCTGATTGCTGATTTGTTGTCACAATGTAGCTTCATGGGCTCATCCCACTTAACCTTCAGATCTTCTAGGATTATTTTGATCCACAGTAGCTCGCATATTCCCAAGGCCATAGCTCGATATTCTGCTTATGCACTAGATCTTGCCACCACATTCTGTTTCTTGCTTCTCCATGTAACAAGGTTTCCTCCAAGAAATGTGCAATACCCAGAGGTAGATCTTCTATCAACCGGTGATCCTGCGTAGTCAGCATCCGTGTAAACTTCTAGGGTCATTCCACAATCTCTCTTAAAGAGAATTCCTTTTCCTGGTCTTCCTTTAAGGTAATGCAATATCCTGTCTACCGCTTGCATGTGAATCTGCTTTGGATTCTGCATAAACTGACTGACCATACTTACAACAAATGCTATGTTTGGTCTAGTGTGGGAGAGGTAGATCAATTTCCCTACAAGTCTCTGGTAGGCCCCTTTATCTACATCTGGATCTTCTTTAGCTTCTCCCAATTTAAGATTAGGTTCTACTGGTGTTGGTGCTGGTTGCTGCTTACAGGCAAGTTTACCTGTTTCTCTTAGAAGATCTTTGATGTATTTCTGTTGTGAAATGAAGATTCCTTTGCTGGAGTGAGCTACTTCAATTCCGAGAAAATATTTTAGTCTCCCAAGTTCTTTGATGTCAAATTCCTTAGAAGATTTTTTCTTAAACTGGATTTCTCCTCTTCATTATTTCCAGTCAAAATAATATCATCAACATACACTAATAATATTGTGACTAACCCTGAATCTGAGTGTTTGAAGAATAGTGTATGATCCCCTTGACTCTGTCAATACCCATTTGTTGACCTATACAAAAAAAAAAAAATCAATTAACTACTCTGCCCGCACGTCGTCGCACGTCTGCGACTTGTCTTGCACGACCCACAGTCGCACGATCTTCTCGCGACGTCAAAAGGACAAAGGGAGGAAGGGAATCGAGAGACTCATACAATCTCACGCCTCTCCTCTCGGCTCCTTCATGGTGTTCGAATTCGCTCCTTCCACGACTTCTCTTTCCAGCCGGATCGGAAGTCGACATTTCGATCGGAAGCGATACAGGAGCTCGCCGGATGTGAAGATAACTTCCTACCTTTCGTACGCTTCTTCTGTCCCCTCCGACGACGTTCCCTTTCCTGCTGGACCGGAAATTTCGGCATTTAGATCGGAAGCAACAACTGGAAGCTCGCCGGCCGTGAAGACTAACTTCCTCCTTCTCGACGCTTCTCCCGCCCTCAGCCGCTGTTCGACTTCACCTTCTCGACGACTTTCCTTGGCTTGTCGGATCGAAGTACAGCATTTTGATCGGAGGCCACAACAGGGAGCTCGCCGGATTGTGAAGGGCTGTTCGACCTCGCTTCCTCCAAAGACTTTTCCTCTCTGTTGGACCGGAAGTTCAACATTTTGATCGGAACAACAACAGGAACCCGCCGGCTGTGAGGGTAACTTTCTCCCTTTGCGTTCTTCTCCGGCCATATCCCGTGAATCTGCCGAATTTAGGTATTTTTTTTTATATAAAATAATTATATTTAATTATAATTATCTTTATTTAATTATAATTAGTTATAATTATTAGTTTTAATTAATTACAATTTTTTTTTAATTAATTAAAGTTATTTTAATTAAATAATTATAATTAATAATTAATTATAAATTAATTTTAATTAGAATTAATTTCAATTAATTATAATTTATAATAAATTATTATTAATTAATGCTAATTAATTATAATTTATTAAAATTAATTAATATCAATTAGTCATAATTAATTTTAAATTAATATGACTTATGATTTTAATTAATTTTAATCAATTATTTTAATTAATTATAATTAAGTGGTTAATTAAAAATAAATAAATAATTAATTATAATTAAGTGATATTAATTATAATTTAAAAAAAAAGAGGGGAAAGAAAAAAAAAGAGAAGAAGCATGCTTGCCCCTCCTTGCCTCGGTCTTCGAACCGACACTGCCAGCCCGCCGGGATTTAAAGGTATAAAATTCTAACTTAAATCCCGTTCTCGACGTTTGCAGCGGACCGGGGAACCACCTATACGCGCTCTTGTAGCACGGTGGGAGGGAGCCCGGTGCGAAGCATACGGCGAGGCGGTAAGCCCTAACACGCTCTTTAGCTGTGGGACGGTCCTCGACCTCGACACCGACACCGCCGACGACTGCTACGCAAAGGTATGATGTTCCAAATCCCATTCTCGACGTTTGCAAAGGACCGGAGAACCACCTATACGCGCTCTTGTAGCACGGTAGGAGGGAGCCCCGGTGCGACGCATACGAACGAGGTGGGAGAGCCCTATACACGCTCTTGTAGCGTGGTGGATGAAATTTTGTACGGCCGCGGTGTCCAAGGACACCTACCATACACGCTCTAGTAGTGTGGTGGGAAGGCCCAGCTCCCCAATTTTCCCCCAAACGGGGGATATGCCGGGGTGCTGCCGAAATTTTCACTGAAATGCATAAGACTTAAACTATTTGGAGACATCATTTGAGCAGCAATACGAAGAACAACAGAAGACTCGTACTCGAACAAAAATACACAGAATTTGAACCAAATGAGCAGAGGACCTGTACGATGAACAGAGGACTTGTGGACCTAAATCAGAATCAAAATTCAAATGATTTCTAAAGACCAAATTCAAATGAGATAAAATCAAACTGAAATCAAAATCAAGTCAATAACATGCATTTGAACTTGCAAGGACTTCAGAAGAGCCTGAGCAAAGACTTGAACTTGTACGTTGGAACTCAGACTTGGATTCAAACACATACAAGAACAAGGATCGAATCATGTGCAAGGGAGTTCAAACAAAAACATGTGTATGGTTAACAGTGACTTAAAGTCCGTCACAAGACCTGGATGTATGAACTCCTACAACAAATCCTACAAATGCTTTGTTGATTGAGATGGCGATACGGGAAACCAATGATGGAGAATCCGCCTTCCTACAAACAAATGCAATACAATCAAACCACCCGAGATTGGTGAAAGGGTGGATATGATGCAGAAAGGATGAATCTCCTGCAAACATTTTCTAAAAGCTCGTAGTGGATACATCAGTCAACTACAAATGCATATGAATACTTGTGGATAACAACAGTGTGTTGCAAATACGATGAATCACTGTGGGCACAAGTACGGATCCCTTACAAATGCAAATGAACACTTGTGGATAACAACAGTGTATTGTACAACGAATCACTGTGGACACAAGTACATATATCACCTACGACAGCGGTGATCAAAATCTACAAGTACACCGGGTACAAAGGCAGCCCGATGTACGAAAAAGGACACCCCCTGGCAGAAGGGAGGAAAATGTTTGAACAAATTAAAACCAAACTTCCTGGTGTTCCAAAGTTTCTTCCTTGTCCCATTCTTAGGGAGAAAACAGCTCTGGTATCCAAAAACACCGGAAATAACAGGTCTGCTACACTGAAGATCCTAAAAAGGAGTTCTCCCCAAATCAACAGTCATTGACTCCAAAGTTCAGAAAGACCCTCCCCTGGTGATTGAGAAAGGGGGAGTCAATATCAAAATCCAACGCCACCGGATCTGCAACACTGATATAAGCAGACAGAAGGCGCCTACAACATTCATATTCGGCCTTTAAGGCCTTCAACAAAGAAAGTTCATGAACAAAGGCATGAAGCCTAAAGAACCCGATCCTTCTATACGGATCAATAGGAGTCGACAGGGTTCGAACTATCAAATAGATACACGGTTGTAGTGACCGGTGTATTTGTTTTAAATACATCTTTTTAGGCCTTCAATGCCTAAAATTAAGAAAAATTCATAAACAAGGCACAAAGCCTACGAGAAACCCGATCCCCTATCGATAAGTTGATAGGTC